TATAAGCGTCTGTTTCTTAAAGTTATTTCTCTTATAAATTACTGTGAACAATAGATAAACGATTTCAAATATAAGCACTTAGAAGTATACCCTAAAGTTAGACAGATTTAAAGGTTAAAATGATTAAAATACCTACTCTTTATACCATGATAAATTTACAAATACATTATTATATTTTTCCAATAAAAATGGCAAACTTACAGAAAGGGGAGGCAATAAAGTTACACATAAAGTACGTTTCCGTCACATTACCCACGCCTCCGACTTCATGCGCCCCGCATGTTTCTTATTAAATATCAAAGATTATATTATGAAAAGGAATCTTTCGTTTCATCTCACAAACATACTATAACATATATAAACTCACAAACTAATCAAAAATGATCTCAATCACGCTATTTAAAACAAAAGCTAAAAATTTGTTCTTAAAGTTCTATTCACATTATTCATAAATGTTCGTATATCTGTATTAACACTACACGAACTCATTCTATTCTCTTTTTCATCACAAATTATTCCTCGGGTCTTTTCTTCAGATACTGTTACTTTGCCATGATATTTACGTGTGTGGATTTTCAAATATTAACTTTTCTTAAAAGTGGTCCCACAAGTATTACATTGTATTTTATTTGTCCGTATAACTTCATTTGTCTTTTGACATGTTTCACATGCATAAACGTAACACCTGACATCGTTTTGAAGCCCTGGCCAGTAAAATCTTTGCCTTATATTATTGAAAGTTTTTCTTATACCTTGGTGCTTTGAATTTTCGTTGTGATGATTTGCCAAAACTAAATGTCTTAATTCATAAGGAACAATGGCTTGCCAATAAACAACCCTAGAACCTAATGTTTCCGATCTTCTACCTAAAAGATTATCACGAATCTCTAATTTTGGCCACTGACTCCAAAGTGATTTCACAAAGAAATTTTTATTTATGATCTCATGATATTCTGGTATGTATCCATTTTCTATCCATGTTTTTATCAACTGTATATTTTCATCTTCTTTTTGTGTACTTTTTAAAATTTCACAAAAACTGTCTATATTCTGATACCCTGAAGTAATCGTGAAAACATAGTCCTGAACCTCTGAATCATTATCATTGTCATATTGTCTAAATGTAATTCCACTTGTGCTGTCAGTATTTTCAAAATTTTGTTTTCTATTTGGGCAAGTATATTGCATATGGCCTTCTTCACCACAGTTAAAACATTTGAAACTCTTTGTTCTATTTTCAGTCTTATTTGTATTTGAAAAAGTTCTTGTTGAACCTCTGGGGTTGAACGTATTTGTTTGATATCTATATTTAAAATTATTTTGCTCTGATCTATCTACAGTACTTAATCTCTCTTTTTCAAAAGAATCAAACCTTTTCTTCAATTCTTCAAAGCTTTTAGTCAACATTTCTATAGCACTGTTTTCTTTCGAACTTTCTTTGACTTTATTAGAATTTAAAGATCTATAACTACCCTGTTTTTCAAAATGTTTTCGTTCAGCCCTATTAAAAGCTTCTAACTCAACTGCATGTCTAACAGCGTCATTTAGATTTAATGGTCTTGCTTGTTTTATTCTTAAACGCATTTCTGAACTAAAAATGGAGTCAATAAATTGTTCTTTTGCTAATGTTTCTTTTACATCACCAGGGGCTGAAGGATATGCCAAATTTGTTAAACGTCTTATGTCTTGGGCCATTTCTGATAAAGTTTCAGTGGCTTTCTGGCGTCTTTCCCGTAATTGTACTCTATAGAGTTCTGTCTGATTTGGGGGAGCAAATCGCTCTTGAAGTGCATTGACTAATTCTGTATAACTACTTGAATTTCCTAAATTACCAAAGATACCTTGAGCATTTCCTCTCAAAGATACAGCAAGATAGAGACCTTTTTGTTTATATGACCAGTTATTAATTTCGGAACAAGCCTCAAAATGAGCTTGGTAATCTATCCAAGACCCGGTGCCATCAAATGTAGCTGGTTTCATAAATACAGAAGACCTATTTGAATTAATTTTAGTGGAAGTATCTGATTTCATATTTTCATCGTATATTTCTCTTTGGGATTTTCGTCTTCTTGTCACATGTCTATCCCATATTTTCGGTCTTAAATCTCTGTCTTCTTGTTCACTTTTGAAAGTATTACTATGCGTTTTACTATCAGTCATAGGAGTTGAAAACCTAATACGTGGTTCAGAATTCAAAAAGATCTTTGAAATGTGCTCTCGTTTTTCTAGAATTTTACTTTCAGGAATATGCGGCAATTGTCTTCTTCTTTGAGAACTGAAAGATGTATTATGACTAGTATTTCTAGATATCTGAACATTTGAAGTACATTGTAACTTAAGCAATTGTTTTTCTAAAAGCTCTATTTCGTTTTGCATTCTCAAACTTTTATTCTCTTTTTTCAACATATCTATCTCTTTGAGATAAACAGACAAATCTTCAGGATTTCTAGCCTCAGCCATAATTCTTAAAAATAATTACGTCAATATAAAAATTTCAACAAACGCAGGTAAGTGATAATGTTATTTTATCCAAAAAAAAATCTATTTGAAATCTATCAAATTAGATATATCCCACCGCTGCCACCAATTTTGTAGCGTGTACCGAGCTGTTGGTTATTTAATCTATAGCTACAAAATAAAATCACAATGTTCTCCAATAATCTTGACATTCTTAAATGCAAATACATGTAATTTTTCTCGGGATACTTATCCTTATGATTGGAAAATAACTAAAAAAAACATCATTCATTGCAAAATAACAATCTTAATATATTTCTAAAATCATTCAAAAATATATATTCCAAGACACAATTTATTTTTCTCAAAAACAATTCTCAAACATATACCAGTCGAAAGCTCAACCTATCCTTCATTCCCCTACATTTACATTTCAACAATCTCTTATCCTACATTCCTTTCTAAAGATACAATAATTCACACATTAATAACAAATAGTTCCTCAATAATCATTTGCCTTATAAATATATAGCATCCTTAGTACCAGATATCTGAGATTTCTGCGTACTAGTAACTATAAGCTTTAACTTCAACCAAACTACTTCTAATCAACCGTTTGCCCGAGAGGTCTTACTGAAACAATAGAACATTTCAGTACCAGATACCTGAGATTCTGTGTACATGAAAATGCTACTATCATTACGATCCAACTCTTACAAGGACATAACCAAACATATTCCCTAAAATACTAAAACTAAACAATTACTCAGATATTTGACATATATAGTAAAACTTCCTTAGTGCCAGATATCTGCGATTTCTGTACACTAGTATGTATTTACTACGTCGTTCCCTTCTATACACATACATATTCAAACCAACTTAAAATACCCATTTCTCAAACTTTCTTCTATCGAACGTTTGTCCATGAGGTTTCACAGAAGCAGCAAGATATTTTTAGCACCGGATATCTAAGATTCATCGGCACTAGTAAATATAATACTGCTTTGATCTGCCCCACGGACGAAACCAAACTGAATCTTTTGCACTGCGAACGCTCTATTTATACTAGTGATTGAACCATCTCCGCAGTGAATAAAAACAATGATTTTGATTGGCTAATAAAAATAAAACGTTTCTTGATACTGATTCTAACAAAATCTTATAAGCGTCTGTTTCTTAAAGTTATTTCTTTTATGAATTAATGTGAACAATAGATAAACGATTTCAAATATAAGCACTTTACCCTAAAGTTATACAGATTTAAAGGTTAAAATGATTAAAATACCTACTCTTTATACCATGATAAATTTACAAATACATTATTATATTTTTCCAATACAAATGGCGAACTTATAGAAAGGGGAGGCAATAAAGTTACACATAAAGTACGTTTCCGTCACAAAAGGTACGCCTAAAAGGGTAATAATGTTTCAGTTAAATCATGACTGGGAGACGTTCTCTTCCTTATCTTTGTTAGTAAAAATATGTTCAAATTAGATTAAAGTCTTAAAGTGGGTGATATTTAACTTCTTATCAGAAATAAGAGAGAAATTCACGCGAATACATGGTGAGCATAGGGATACTTCCAGTAGGCAGTTGGGTATTCGCACGAATAGTTTGGGATACACGCGGTGGACATAGCGAGACCGGGTGTTTCAATGCTGAAGAACATATTTATATTAACCTAAATGTTTTTATGCGTGAGGGACCTATCTAGTCAAGAACGGCGATAAAATATTACTTCGATGTCTAAACTAAACTCCTATTGTCATAATAATACTAACTTATATTTTGCAAAATGGTTTAGAATTATATAAAATTACTGTGGAAGGAACCTAATAGATAGAACGAGATTACGCTCTTATTAAAATCTTGTTGTTAAGTATTGGAAATGAACATTAAGGTGATTGAATATGCTAACTATATAGATTAGTTGTAGAGTCAGAATACCATTTTGTTTTAAACTGACCAATATATGCTGATAAAAGAAAATATTTACGTCAATGATCATACTATCCAAAAAATCAAGCAATTGATGTCGCTCTCCTAACAAAAATGTTAATACAATTTAGCAAGGTATATTAAGGAAGCCCCACATTTACGTAACGTTGTACTTGCTCGTTAATATGCTCTACGTTTATACTCATAGTTGTTTTTTTACTTTGTCTGTTACTTCCTTATATATGATATGTTTTTCTTTGTGACCATTTCTTTTGTATAATTATGTTTATTTTGTGTATACTGTCTTTCCCATAAGATGAATTTACCTGTATATTGTCGACAGACATATGCAAACTTGTTTCTGATTAAAATAATTGAGAAGTAAACTGAACTGAATAACACTGATAAAAGGTAGTTACATATTTATAATAAATAGTTTTCTTTCTACAAATATCAAACTTATTCATGCAGCTTACATAATAATTAAACACGCACTCGCACACACACGCACGCGCGCGCACGCGCAAAAAAACCCTACAATTATAAGCCATACAATTTTTTACCGTCGGTTAGTACTTTACTTTTCATAACGGGTTAACTTACATAAACAATTTATGATCAAAGTAAGTATTACATTATTATGTGCATTGTTAGGTAAAAACTCAAAACTTTTCGATTATAATATATTTTAGAGTTATTCCTTCTTCACCTCATCGGCATTATGTGAATGCAGTTGAGCCATACGTAGGAAAGATTTCAAGACAATCAATATGGGAATCGATTCTCTCCAGGAAAAGCGGTCCATTCCTTCAAAATTGACAAGTGGAAACACCTTTGGAGCAGGAATTTTTAGCTGCCTTTCTGTGTCGTCAACAGCCTTTTGAATTTTCTTACAGCGGAAAATTGAAGCGACACTATATTTAACATGTTCTGAGAGCTGGTCTGCCTTTGTGAGAACAACTATTACAGGGATATCTGAAAAAAACAAACAAACACAAGAAAACAAGTAGATTTTGCTTCTGTCAGAATATTTCACTCGATAACTAGCTTGATGAAATAATTAACCATATGCTTTTCAGCAAATTTAAAATGATTGTTTTTGTTGCCGCAGAAAATAGTTTGATATCAGATGTTTTTTAATCATTCATAGCATTGTTAACGGCAAAATATTAAATGATGATTTTAATTTTTCACAGTTTTCATTGCCTGTTATAAAGTATGTAAAATTAACTACGGTGTCCATTAACAATTAAATGCAATGTTTCTTTAATGGTTTATTGTCGTTAATCATCTAAACTATTTTCAGTATGATATATGCTCATTTCATTTATGGTTTTCCTGATCCTTTCCATGTTAAATACATAGGTTACTGGTAGTTCGTACGCCTGTAAACTATCGATGACAATTGTAACACAATGCGTCCTGTCCGAAAATTTGGGAGATTTTCTAAAATGTTCGTCTTCAGGGGAAATACTTTTCTTTGGATCAAACTGCAATTTATAAAAGAAAGATTTGAAACCTTGATTTTTTAAATATCATTTTTAACATGATTTCTTTGATAAAGATAGTTTACGCGACAAAACAAGAAATGTACTACTCAACTTTTGCTAAGCAGCAAGAGTATATTATGGAAGTTATAAAATGATTTAATTACTCATGTTGGATTGTTTGACCTAACAATGTTTTGAAATGACCCGAAATGCAAAATGTTTTATCGTCGTAGACACTGAATGTTTGCATCCATCGTTTTCTGCTTATTTGTAGGAACAGAGATATACGAGGGGCGTTAATATATTCGTACACAGTGCTTATAATTTTTTTGTTAGGCAGACAAAATTCGTAAAGTAACATGACCGGAAACGGCAATGTAATATACACTTGTACATGAACTTTCAACCGCTTATAACAAACTGTATTTGACGGTACACAAGGCAATGACACCGACTGTTAGCGACCCATGATTGTGTTTCCCGACGTCAGCGGCGTTACTTCAATTTTTGACGTGTCGTGCATCGCTCATAAAGATACATAGCTTAATAAGTGTGATTATTTTTAAAAAAAGTGCAATAAGATAGAATTGTATTAAAATAAAATAATAGAACTAATACAAACAAAAATTTTAAATAAAGTATAAAAAATCTAAAAATAATTGAGGTTTATAAAACTTTATCTTTTTATACGCTTAAGACATTCGGCGGTTTATTAAATTTTAATCGTTTCACTGTAATACAAACATTAATTTATGTAAAAATATAAATTTTACCTTTCGCATCTTCAAATCATTTAAAAGAATATTATGTACGGTGTCTACACTCAAGTCGACAATCTCCGAAATCCCCATAACTGTCACAGGGCGATCAAATTCTAACGCGGCCTAAATTGGCGCTAAGTGTTTTTCATTAACGTGCAATGTCCCTGATATTGTGTCGTCCTGAATCCTTTCTCGACCTTCAGAAAAACGTTTATGCCATTTATAAACAAGGGCGCGACTAACAAATGTCTTCACTCAACTTTTTTGCAGCATTTTATAAGTGTCAAATGGTGTTGTCCCAAGATATTAGCAAAATTTTTTGATTGCCCTGGTTTCCAGCTTTTCTTGTGACAACATTTCTGACGTCATTCTGTTGATGCTCTCACAGCGTAAATGTTGTTTATTCAAACTCCAACGTCCAAATGACGTATTATTTTCAGGTAACGTCGTCATAACGTCTTACATCACTTTCCCGGATCTTTAAGTGTTTACCTTACTAAGAAAGTAGTATATTTACACACTTCATAATAAATTCACTACAAAAAGTACGACGCTGGCGCATTACCGTGATTGTCAGTCTTAAAGTTGCGTAATTTTCAAAATTAAATTTTCAATGTTTTGAAAAGAAACAACAATGCTATCAATTGATACAATTTTAATAAACAATTTTGCTTCTGAATAAAAATAAGGAAATTAGTCTACGAATATATTGAACACCCCTCATATTATTGTTCTAATACACTGATATAACATTATTTATGGTTCTTCAAAGGTCACATGTTTCACAGTCAGTTATGTCTTGGGAGGCAATTAAGATGGGTGGACTGACCTCGTTGTGCTACATTTAGGTACATTGATTAGTCAGTCGTACATCGATGTGAAACAGTTAGTACATTTTAATTGACGATTGTATACGCCGAACAGGACCTGGGTGGCCAAGTACTACCAGCAAAGGGGGAATATTGAACGCCTTATATGGCCAACTCTATCACCCAACCTTGATCAAAATGAGCACATTGGGAATGAGTTGAAGGTAGAAATATCAGCATAACCGATGAAATAAAGAGATATCCAAGAGCTTGAGGTGTTAATGAAGGGAGAAAGAATGTACCACCGTGCCCGTTTACACTGTCAAAAACCTCTTAGGAAGCATGAGAAGGCGGTGCCGATCCGTTGACTTATTAAAGGGCCACATACACACACACGCACGCACGCATGCACCAACACACACACCAACACACCAACACACACACACACACACACACACACACTGAACACACACACTCACACACACACACACACACACACACACACACGCACGCACGCACGCACGTACGCACACACACACACACACACACACATGTTACTGAGTCTACTGAGTCTAAACTTGAACACATAAATGAGTTTGTGGACATTTGAAAAATCTTGGGCATAAGGGGTCTTCCTCTTCCGTTACCAAGGTAGTGCAAAGCAGTAATCAAAGTAACAGTTGTCCTTCAATCAAAATTAGTAAACAGGAAATTGATTTGTACAACTATGGTGGCTGATTTGTCCCATTCGTGTTTTCGCCTGCGACCCCGCCAAGCGAAAAGTCGAAAATTAACAAGTTAAAATGGCGGCGGCGCGGAGCTAATAAGCGAGTGCGCGGGGCGAATTTTAAGAAATAAATCTTAACGCGGAGCGAGATCTAAAAAATAAAACGGCGGGGGCGCGGAGCCAAAACACGCTAAGCGTGTTTTCGCTCCGCGTTTCCGCCATTTTAACATGATAATTATCGACCTTTCGCTTGGCGGAGTCGCAAGACGAAAACAAGCTTATTAGCGGAGTCGCGTGGCAAAGTTTAATTTATTTATTTAACTTCGCCCCGCGCCCCTGCTAATTAGCGTGTTTTCGTTCTGTGACCCCGTCGGGTTTTTTCTTAAATCTCGTTCCGCGCTCCCGCGGGGCAAAGTTTTATTTATTATAATTCGTCCCATGCCCCCGCTAATAAGCGTGTTTTCGCTCCGCGCCCCCGCCATTTTAACTTTATATTTCTCGTCTTTTCGCTTGGCGGGACGCAGGACGAAAACACGTTAATGAGTGGGAGCGCGCGGTGAAGTTTTATTTATTAAACTCCGCCCTGCGACCCCGCTATTTAGCGTGCTTTAGCCCCGCGACCCCGCCGTTATTTTAGAAATCTCGCTCCGCGCCCCCGCCGGGCGAAATTTTATTTCTTAAACTTTGCCACGTGCCCTCGCTAATTAGCGTGTTTCCGCTTCGGGCCCCGTCATTTTAACTTGTTAATTTTCGACTTTTTGCTTGGCGAGGTCGCGAGGCAAAAAACACGAATGGCACAAATCAGCCACCATAGTACAACAGTTATCAAATTACTTCCAAATATTCTCAGCATAACATTTGTTGTTTAGTAAAGTTTGAAAAGTTAATCAAGTCACTGTTAAGTCAAAATTATTTGGTTAAGAAAAAATTACAATCGTTGAGACATGTGACCAATAAACAGTTTACAGACACGTATTTAACAATTAAAATAACAATCGAAAGACAACAATCAAGAATCAGTCTAAACAATACCTTTAGATAACAATTTAGGTAACAATTTCACGTCAGAGGACATTATCTAATCAAACGGTCAACTTATAACACAACTTTTTCTTTACAAAATATGGACCTACCTTATATCCGCTTTTAACATTTCCTTGAAGAATAGCTTTGATATCATCTAGCATGGGCTGAATATCTTGAGTTGTCGGTAGTGGCCCACAAATATCCCCTAAAACACAATTTTCCAAATATCCCAGGAAGTCAAATGTTCTGTACTGAAAAAATTAAACTAGAATGTTTACCATCCTTTTACGGTAAGTTAATGTACAAAGATAATCGCAAATCTCTCTGAACAAACAAAAACAAGCACAACAATTTTCGACATTAACAGCAACTACGAAGAATATCAAACTAATTTCTTAATGAATGCCAAATGATTATGGCATACAGTTGATCTTAGCGACATAATTTATATATTTCAGAAGATTGAGTCTTTTCATGGGCATTGAGCAATGATTTACACCTGGACATGTTGAGGATAAAAATTCAAACAGCTATAAAAAATATAAGCCTGTCCCACTTTTTTATCAACTAAGCGCTAACGATACAATCTGAAGCATATTACAAAACATTTGGTATTGCATATTCATTCAAACTAGAATCCGAAATTGGAAACAAATATGACAAAATAATGACCTTTTTACTTTAACCTGTACTCTGAACATTTTTGATTTAATAGGCATAATGTCTAAATAGTTAATTAAATGAAAGAAAACATTCTCCAAACGAAAGAACTCAGATCGGTGCATTATAAATATATAAAAACGAGGAATAAATACAGATCAAGAAATAAAATTGGGCATTCTCTCATTTCACTGAAGGTTTTGAGCTTTGTGGTAATAGTATAGAAGTTCACGATGGAGGACTTTTCACGGCATGAAAGGTAGGTAATTGTTTTTCCGGCACATGTCAAGAAGTTAAATTTCCTCAAAAAATGACCCGGCATCTAATAACGTATTTCAAACTTATCTCTTTATCGCACATAATGTGCAGATTTTACCTTTTGAAAAATCGAATTGAGGAACTAGAAATATATCTATAGGATACGGATGCCCACACATTCCTTTGTCAGTCTATTGACGTACAGCAGGACAATTTGACAGAGTGACATACCAAAGAAAATTCTACATAACTCCCCTTACCCCTAAGATGTAAGGGCATGAAAACGACATCATATTTTTCCAGTGTTGTCATCTTGACTTTTCACAATATTAATACCTCTCAATTTTATATCGTTACGTGTGCTTAGATGATAAAAAACACAGATGTACACCTACACATGCTAAATCAATCCACACGTGAAGCTCCAGGTGTGCAACTACACATGGTGACAAACACCCCTGTCAAGTTTCATAACTCAAGGATAAACAGTCTTTGGCTACGCATGACACAAGTTTAAAATTACAATATTTTTCTAAGTCAAGGGCAATAACTGTTGTTCTTTTTCTTGTACTCATGATTTTATTACTTAAAATCGGAGAAAAAGGTGACGGACTCTCTTGATAAAAGAGTAAGTTAATGTCAAATGCTCTCATTAAGTATGGGAAAAAATCATAGATGCCGAATTCACTTCCGTGCAACTAAGTAACAATTTTTTTCCTTAGAAATCAAAGTGTCGAAAAAAGAAGCTGCTTCTCTGTCAATCTTATAATTGCTATTCTATTACCACAAAATGCGACAATGTTGCTCGTACTATACGGTGCATATACTTCTATAACTTGATATTATTATAAATATTATAATCACGGAATCCGCTATGTACCAAATATGTTTTCAATTTTATAACCTAAAACAAAAAAGTTGACTACCCTAACTTTTACTATAAGTAATAATAATTTGATAATATCTTTGCTAAAAGTTTAGAAATAAGTCACCGTGCATGTCCAGTAACGAAGGAATGTGCAAATAACGTGAAATTTACGCCGAATCTTCCAACGCTATTACCTAAACGAATAACACAGTAAGCAATCGAACCAAAATATTTTATTCTAAATCAAATTTAAAGAAATGAATTAGCGCGTTTGGCTGCTACGACATTATACTTAAAGCAGCATTACATTTTTTCCAGGTCTTTATCACTATTTTTAGATTATTCGTTAGGAAAACAACCTGATTACCGTTTTGGAAGTGAATTTTGTGTTTTGTCAAATTAATATGTACATTTAACACCTTTAAAACATTATAATTTTATATTATGTTTACCTAAATATTTACATTTAACGCATATTTAAAACATTTGTTTCATATACTGTATACCTAACATTTGTCAAACAACAAGTGTCGTATAACAATGGCTACGTTTAATGAGATCATCGCTCAATCACCTTGCAAAACATGCGAACTGGATCCAATTCAAACTTGGTTGCTGAAAGAATGCCTAGCAGAACTTGTAAGTGTTATAACAAGAATCATTAACAAATCTATTGAGAAAGGATACATGCCCATCTTTTTCAAAAGCTCGCGTGTTAGACCTTTGATTAAGAAACCTGGACTTGATCCGAATGTTTTGAAAAATTACCGCCCAGGGTCCAATTTACCTTTCATCTCAAAATTCTTGGAAAAGGTTGTTGATACCCCAATTGAAAAACATCTTGGATTACACCAACTCCATGAAATTAACCAATCTGCTTACAGACAAAACATCATTCAACAGAAACAGCATTACTACGTGTGCAACAAGACACTCTGAATGCCTTTGATCGAAAAGAAGCTACCGTTCTTGTAATGCTCGATTTGTCGGCAGCTTTCGATACTATCGACCATAACATCCTCCTCAATCGTCTTGAGTACCATTTTGGAATCGCAAGCAAACCATTAGAGTGGATGGGATCTTACTTGACAGACCACTTCCAGACTGTGTGCATCAATGATGAGCTCTCAGATCCTGTGGAAATGAAGTATGGTGTTCCACAAGGTTCTGTGCTGGGACCAAAAAATTATGTCATGTACACAAAGCCTGTTGGTTCGATCTGTAGAAAACATCAACTTTATAATCACTTTTGTAATTAATCCGTCTATGAAAGTTGGAAACCTAGGTGCTTTGCTTGATTCTCATCTAGAAATGAATTATCATGTGAACAGTGTCTCCTATTGTCCTATAAGCTATTGTAATGCCCTTCCAAATGGCTTTGCAAAGGCAGTTCTTAACAAACTACAAATCGTTCAAAATACCGCTGCACGGCTTAGAACCAAAACTAGGTATGTCAGCATCACGCCAGTGCTTAAAGAACTTCATTGGCTCCCTATACATCGACGTATAGATTATAAAATACTCACTCACCTCTTTAAAGCCCTTCACGGAGAAGACCCGCAATACATTACAAACTTGTTAACACTATATATACCTCAAAGACAATTAAGGTCTCTGCATGGACCGGTTTTACTGAATGTTCCATGTTCCAGAACTGTAACATACGGTGATCGATGTTTTGCAGTTGCAGCACCAAAACTTTGGAACACATTACCTTCAGTACTACGTGACTGTAAAAGTCTCCCGTCTTTTAACAAAGCTTTAAAAACCCATCTTTTTACAATTTCCTGTTGATATTATTCTAGTTATTTACACAATTATGTAAGTTTTACCGGTTTTATAAGACATTTTAAACGTTATATGGTTGTAGCAGCACACGGGTAAATCTTATTTTTTACATTCATTTTGTATCTTCTATGATATTTTACGTTTTATCCAATAAAACCTCTTTTGTGATTGTTCTTTTATTTTTTATGTACAGCGCCTTTGAACGTGCTCTCCATGAAAAAGGCGCTTTATAAATCTGGTTATTATTATTATAACCGCCCTTGCTTCAGCGGTGCGTTTTCTCGTAAAAATGGTCTCTAAATTAAATTAAATAAAGTGTCATATGACACGAGTCGATTGGAAAATGTCTCAGGTACACCGAATATAAAAAAATCATAAAGTAACATGTATGTTATTGTATTTAAAGATATTAACTTAACTAAAAATCGCCATCAATACGCTAGCCTGGTCGTTATATTCACGAATGATCTTGAAAAATAAACATATTCATGGAAATATTTTTATGAGGTTTAAAATTTAATGTCTCAGCAACCGTATGCGCAAATTCATTTCTTCCAATTTGATGTCCAATGAAAAAATATTGGTCCATTATCTTATCGCAGTGCTCGTTTTAGCCATAAAATTGCACAATTCTGCGTTACTCTTGTGCAATTCCTGCGTTATTTGCACATTCCTGTGTTACTGGATATACACGGAGAAAGTAATAAACTGACATGCGTGGTAACATTTTCGTCCGACGGAGCAGCATTGCAAACAGTAGTTTTCTCGCCAACACGTACTGAAGCAAATGTGTTTATCAAGGAAGACTTCCCATGTCCATGAGAGCCAATTGTAAGAACTTTGAATTTTTTTAAACCAGACTCTTTTGTAGGTTTAATACCGTTTATGTCCTTTTGTAATTTCTCTGCTGTCTGAAAAATATAAGTTGCTGACGGGTTTAAATACATTATATAGTCCTATTGAAAAAGATATTAATTTATTAAACTTAAAACGCTTTGATTATATTGTGCGTTATTCCAATGTAACGATTAACCTTGAAAAAGAAATGTAAATTAATAATATAAATGACCCATTACACCTATATTATCAACGATGTCTTTTTGGGATACTAAATACAGCACTGTATAGTTCTGCTGCATCGATTTTTTATGTCACAAACACAATCACATAATCAAAAAAAAAGAAATACATCTACAGCAACTGGCCAATCACTATTCGTATAACAGATCAATAATAAAAACAGTTCTCACTTCTTCTTTCCATTTGAAGTTCGTGAAAGGTTCTCTCCAAGGAGTCCAAGGCAGACCTAAAACAATTTTGTTAATTTTAACATATCGAATGATGTTGTAAATCAATCGGATCACATCAAATTAGAGAAATACATTGATCAAATGTTTAAGTACATGATTCATCATTCATTATTGTTATTATTAACTCATTTCTCCTCCACGATACAATGTATTTGTAATTCTTTTATACAAAGTTACCCACAGTCATATGGGTAATAGTTTACATCAGGTTAAATCGGTTAATTACTGATATACCTGCTGGAATAGTTGTTAAGTGTTACCGACCAATTACATATAATAGCAAACCAAACGTAACTCACTCGACTTTAACTAAAAATATAAGTCAGGGATATATAACGATGGTGGAAAGGGCAGATTTCATTGCAGGGTAATTATTCGAGAGAAGGTAACTTCAGCAATGCTAGTAAAAATATAATTATCTGTGTGATTTTAATCCTTTTTGGCAAATTGGTACCAAATGATTTCAACTATAAAACATTGTTTCTCTGTTATTATTAATAAGGTCAAAACAACGCGAGAGATACATATCTAAGGTGTCACAAAATTTAAAGTTAAAGCTAATAAGAGGTCAAAATTTAATAAGAGGTCAAACCCTTTGATATTTGGTTGAGAGTTATGTTTATTTCTTTCTGGAATCATACATAGGACCATCTGGCTGGTTTAGTTCAGATTCAATGGAAAAAAAGTTTTATACTTCACAACAGCAGGTGTCAAGTGCTGTGTTTCAGCTGTAAAAAGTTGCCCCTACTTCATTTCATTGTTGTTATATTTTTCTAATCATTCGAAATCACTGATTCCAAGACTTTAACGTGTTGAAAATTGAGAACCGCTCTGCCGGTGCTGGGGGTATGAGGAATGTGGCACTTATTCATTAGTCATTACTCTCATAAACAGAATCATTCAAACCGAATCGGCAATTTTGTTGTGATTGGTGCTTCCGAGGGATCACATTTGGTTCAGGTGTTTTACTGATATAATTATTTATTCTGAATAATTTTACTCGACTAATTTAGCACAATATTTGCTTAATTCAACTTTCTTTTCACAAAATATTGAATAACTGATTTTTATAAACAGAGGCAACTCTTAGTACAAAAACACTTTATGCATGTTCAGAATCTGTATCTGGTGTTTACAAATTAGTTTTGCGTTGAAAAGTATTATTGTAGACATTCATTACATCTTCATACGCTTTTTCCATTCTTGCAAAATGTTAAATCAAGATTCTTTTTACATTCTTTTGAAGTAAACGACCATTCTATTTTATTTCATGGAATTTGTCACGATGGAAAAAGTAAATTTATACTAAATAATAGTGAAAATAATATTTTCTAATAAAATCCTAAACATGTCTGCAATATTCTTGGAAATCTTCAAGAAATGTGCAAAATTTGTTGATTAACTCGTCTTCAATGTTTCTTACTATTCTTATAACTATAGATTCCAACAACAACCACCGGTTATATAATAATTACATGATATATTACATAATAATTGCATGGTATTATACAAGAAATATATCACAACTATAATATATGAATATTTAACTATGAAATAAAGATTTTATTTGTATTCTTTGTTTTTAATTTTTCAATAACTTATTGATGACAAATGATTTTAAATTAAGCCAAGACAATTTCACTATTTTACTATGCCTGGACAAGAAACTATGTAAATTATAAGCAGCAAATTTTTCTTGTCTTAAGCAATTATCTGTTTATATATATGTTTAGTTTGCTATTAATTTTTTGTTCATTGTTATATTTACTTTGTAAAAAAATGTTTTTTATTATCATTTGTAAATGATGTTTCAATCTTTCTTTGAATCATAACCTTTTTTACAGAAAATTTATGTAACAAAATGTTAAGCCAGAAGCATCCAATAAAATGAGCACTGATTTGTGAATTCTCTTATAAATCAAAACTGTTCTACACTTTACTGGTTTCCATAAGGTCCTGGCTCCTAGAAATGCTCATTAATACATATCAACTAATCGTATTGTGACATGCTAAATTGTCAGCTAAATAAGTGCAGGGAAAACCTTAAGCTTCCATGTTACATCAGGTGATTTCATAAAGAAGATGAAAACCAATGTAGAAGACTGTCTTTGATGTCATTGAATCATTGAATGGTTTGGTAATGACAATTATAACCAATTCCTAAGAAATGGAGGCAGAGCAGCAGCGAGCAAGTAATTGTTTGATTAATACTTTTTGTAGGTATTTTTATTGAAGCAACAAAAGTCTTTGATCGTTATTTACACCCGAAACACGCACCATTCATTAACCATTTATACAAAATATTTTTGTACACCTATATATACGTACACCTGGTGAGTCCAAGCTTTAAACAAACTGTGATCAAACAAGGCAGTTAAAATCGCCAAGGAACACAAAATGAATAATATTACAACTCCAAGATACATTATAAACCACTAACATTCAACCAAAATACGAACTTCATAATATTTTATTAACGTGAAAAAACAACTTAAAACCAAAATAACCAATATTTACAGATATCTTGAAAACCAAAGCATAAACTACGAGTCTTTACAAGACAAAATTACTTACTCAATACAACTCGATTTATATCAACCAAATAAATTCAACCAAACAAAAATACCTCAGCAACCAATCTAATTTAACAACCAAATGTACACATATATCGCCCAAATTAAATTCATTCAAATTCAACAAAACTCCCTTCAAAATACACTATTCTTATCTGTCAATAATATACGCTACACACTTCGAGAGTGCCTTTCCTAAACTGATGTAAATTTTCCAAACACTCGCATGATCACAAAATCAAACAATCCCACACGACTAAGCAAGAAAAGACCACTGGCAAGGAGCCCGGGCCAAACAAGAACAGGATAGGGCACATGACAAGGTACGGATGGGGTAAATATTTTAACAACACATAACAACACATAACAGGAAATAATAGAAACCGACAAGAAACCAAAGAAAACGTATGGTTATTCTGACAGCTCCCTATCCCAGAAAACACTACACTGTTTTCAAACACAAACAATACGAATAATAAACAATGTCTCTTTTCAGTGTACTCTGGTAAACTTCACTGACGGCGTCACAGCTTCTATTCTACACATAAATTTCTAATCTCACGATTCGGCCACTTTCAACTTTACACTTCTGAATATATGTCAAAGGAGCATAGTCACTGTGCAGTGCAAAATCTTTTCCATTAAAACATTATAAATTTCTCTGAGACCAAAAACTATTGCAAAAAATATCTTTTAGAAAACCGACCAACTATAGATAATGAATAATGACATATTCGTTAATGATATTTACTGGAAACAACTATTTGTCTTTTTCAGACTTTTAATCACCGTTTACGGTCTCAAATATTCTATTCAACACATCTTTTTCTACTTCGTATCTAATTTTCTTTACCATTCATTTCATGATTTTATTCTCTCTAATAAAAGGGCCACAAATGCTGTAAAGCATTTTCATTTAATTTTTCTTTCTTAAAAATATGTACTGTTATTTCGTTATCTTCGAACTTTGAAACTTCATTGCTTTCTTCGCTTTTCCGCTTGTGCACTAGTAACATCATCCGCTATTTTTATTTATGTTTCGGCTAACCAAATTTTCTTTTTACTTCTCAAGTACATCCTGAATATTACACAAAACTAAGTCACAGATTTCTGACTTAAAAAAAGCTTCTATTTAACCCTCATAATGATCATTATCTTAATATGGGGAGTGTTGTCCTAATAGTTATGGGGGCTGCCTCTCAAGCCAGGGAACATGGGTTTGAGCCCCACCTGGGTCACGACCGATTATCTTCATAGGATACCAGTATCAGTCCAGGAAGCATTCTGGACAGTGATTTATATAAATTGCAAGATCTTGTTTCGTAATCGAGCTAAAATAAATTTGTTTAAACCAATGTCTATGTTTTCCATGGACACCAACCTGGCCCGACAATCTATCGCTATCATACTACGGTATTTGATCATCTTTGATCAATATCTTTGTTTCAAATCTAATTGACGTTAACCTTCTACAATCATTAGAACTTGCCGAAGAAATTGACATAAATAAACCCTATCTAATCATCTGATCTACCATCACGTCTCTTTTCTCTAAGGCTATTACGCCATTTTAGTAGTGAAGAATCCCGATAGGTTTAACAGTTATTACTTTTTTGCCCGCATCATATCCTTTCTTTAGTCTGATCCGGATAATTTCTGGCCACATGACTCTCCCTTTTACATATGAATCATGTTACTGTTGTGTTTTCCCTGGGATTAAGCTTTACTGTTTTCGATGGATTACCTTGATACGGCGTATTGGTAATTGATTTGAAATATTGGCAACCTTTGACTTTTAACAATTTGTAATTGTACCGTAATGCACCTCTCAGTATGGTTCACCTAAAGATGTGACGCATCTACGATCCTTTATCTTTCATTCCTTGAGAACTTTGACAAATTTCTCTCTAATAATAAGATCTTTCAATGAAACTATTTTACCCGTAAGCTGTTTCACAGCCTCCTCTTGTTCCTGTTTACTCTTTTTCTAAATTTAGTTCTGAAACCCTTTTCTGATAATTGTTATCTCTTAAAAACTGCGGTTTTTAATTTCTGACAGTCTTAGGTCTGCTTATTGGACACACTATTGTAAACTTTGATACCATTTTCCTTGAAAACAAGCTTAAACTCATTGTCCATGTACCTTCTTTCCAACCTAGACAAACTTAATTAATCAAACTAGACAAGAAAATCACCACAGTTTGAAGAACACGAAATGAATTATTCTATAATACCTAAGATATAGTATGAACCACATACATTCAAAAAAAATATTAACTTCGCAACATCATATCAACATCACAAAAGGAAAACACATGTTTACAGATATTTTTAAAATCAAAATATAAAATTTTTGACAAGACAAAATGACCCAATACAACTCAAGCAATATCAACCGAATATAACTAACCAAACAAATATCA